ATATAATTTTTAAATATACAATAAAGAAATATACAAAAAACACTCTAATCGAATAAGCATAAAAAATGCCTCCAAACCAAATCCAGTTTTGAGCACATTACATTGTTAAGCTCGATAAAAGATTATTTTACACCAAATTTCAATCTGCTAAATTTATCCATGTAGTAACAATGGTGAAAAACATCTATTTCAATTTTTTATTTTTATTTTTTTATCGTGTACATTAAAAAAGCTGAAAAAATGTGACGCACTTTTTCGCATGATATTACATCTAAAAAAAATTTGTTTAGATCTTTGATGAAAAATTTGAATTCAAAAAAGTTTTGCATGTTTTTTATTGAAAATATTTGAGTACTGTCTTTAAAAAATTATGGTAAATTAATCATTCTATAATGGAATATATCGTACTCAGATTTTTTAAAAGAGTGTGGAGCATTGTTTCAAAAATTAAAAATCAGTTTTTAAATATATTTTTATTTATATTCAGCATGTAAAGCCCAGTTTCACAACTGATGGTTAATTCTTAATCAAGGTTCAACTTATTCATTATCTCTTTTCAATTCTAGAATTGAAAAAATGAGAAATAAGTTGAATTTTGGTTAAGAGTTAACCAGGAGTTGGGAAACTGAGTGAGTGTTTTAGACAGCGTTACGCGTCATTTCATCTTTTTCTAACCACATGGGAAAAGAAATATCAGAAAACTGATAGTTCTGCACGGAGCGTACAAACGCCAAATTACATCTCTGCCCGCTCGTCATGAAGTTGAATCCCCTTCTCTCTTAAGCTTAAAGAAACACAATAGGCACAAGGAATGACAAGCCAATTAAAGCTCTAATTGACTCGTTCCCTGTTCCCTGTTCCTATTGTAAACAATTGATGACAATAGAGAAAAATTTCAGGGCGCTCCTCGTCTGACGCTGGTAATTTCTTTGTTGTCTCTATTTTGATTCAGTAAATTTCATACAGTATTGCCTGTGCCTATTGTGTTTTCAGCTTTAAGATGCATTTAAATTACAGCATCAAGCAGCGAGAGGAGCAATCATCATTTTAGAAAGAATCGTTTTTTTAAAAAGAAGTAAAATGGATGATTTATTAGATGTAAATAGTAAATTGATCAATTATATACTACAAATTATATCTTCAATATATATAAATGTATTGAACGAATAAGGATTTCGACAGGTTTTGTTAAATTCTTGTGTTTGCGAAACTATCGTGAATGAGACTGAGATAGTTAATCATAATTGCGTAGCAGGATATTCAAATGTTCCTGTGGAATAGTAATGCAAGATAGTTTTATCCATAATATGATAAGAGTGTCATACCATTGAGCATCGAATCGGAATGACAGATTTCTCACTAGGATTGAGCATTCTGCTCCATAACAGTTTTCCTATTCAATAAAAACGAAACAAAATCTAATTATAAAATATATTTTACTGTTATGACTCCTGCACATTGAACGCGGAAACGCTTGCCGCGCGGCAAAATGAGATGCGGTAATTAATGAACACATTAGGAGCTGTAAGTTTATTGGATATCGCATCACATTTTGCCGCACAGCAAGCGTTTTTTCGCGTCTAATGTGCAGAAGCCATTACGGTGCTATCACATACAACCCGTAATCTCGCAAAAATTACTAGGGATTGCGTTCGTAACATTACGTGTGTTTTATCTTTATGTGTCCCATAGAACCATAATCCTATGAAATTTCCGTAAAAGTTACTAGTTATTACCAATATTTTTTCTAATTTTATTTATGGCATTTTTCGATCCGACAGATTTATTTTTGGATTGGATAATGTTCTACTATTGGTTAACGTTACATATTCCATCAATAGAAGAGCAACAATGTCATTAATCCAATCTAGATTGGTGCATTCGTGAAAAAACAGATAATTTTACTATTAAAAGTATCGTTAAAAAAATCATTGAAAATGAATGGCGTTTTCAATAGTATTTTATAACAAGCTGAATGAGTTTTTGCCAATGGTAATATTTTATTACTGGCTAGTAATACTTCCAATGATTTTAATTTTATAATTTTATTGCTAAAATGAGTATTATTATTAATATTTTATTCCAGAATATATACACATAAAATTATGATTAAAAAAAAAGTTTTTTCCTGAATTCGAGAACTAATTTAATAGTGCTTCGAAGCGGTCACCTATCCGATTACATATCGCCATCCATTATCCTTAGGTTTGTCGCGTCGCATACTCCAACATGCTCCAATATGTTCCCATTATAGCTTCTACTCACTCCTGCGTTCATTAGAGTAAGTACTATAGCAGGAATATATTGGAGCATGCGATGCAAACAAACTTCTTGATTTCTGAAATCATATGGCAGCATTTTGATCTACGAACCTACATAATCATGTATAGCTACGATATATTGGGAAAAAGTTCGTGGCGATTTTTTAGTAAAATTAAAGTGTTTTTCTTAGAGTATTGAAATCAATTTATTTAAACCAAATATGCTTCATTATTTTCTATAATATTTTGCCATTTTTGGGGCAGAGCCATAATTCCATCGCGATAGAACTTCTGTGATTTCTGATCAAAAAACTGCTTCAAGTGATTTTCACAGGCCTCTTTTGAAGCTAGCTTTACACCATTAAGAGAGTTCTGCAGAGACAAATGATAGTCTGAGGGTGCTATCTCAGGACTATACGGTGGATTATTAATTAAATTTCCCAGCCAAGCTCTCGCAATTTTTGCCGAGTCATCAAAGGTGTGTGGTCGAGCGTTGTCGTAATGGAAGACGACACCTGTCCTATTGATTAATTCTGGCCGCTTCCTCTCAATTGCTTGTTGTAATCTCTGCAGTTATTCACAGTAGAGTTCGGAATTGTTTGATTGGACGATAACAGCTCATAGTGAATTCCGACGATTCCCTTCCAGTCCCACCACACACACAACATCACCTTCCTTAATCCAGGTTTTACGATTGCTTGCGCCTTTTCTCCTTTCTTTATCTACGATCTTTTTCTAGTTGAATTGTCGTAGGTGATCCATTTTTCATCACCAGTTATCATTCTCTTCAGAAATGGCTCAATTTCATTCCGTTTCAGTAGCGTATCACAAATGTTAATTCAGTCCATCATGTTCCTAACACTCATCTCATGAGGAACCCAAACATCGAGCTTCTTTTTGTATCCAACTTTGTGTAAATGATTTAAAACTGTTTTGTGATCGATGCCTAGTTCCCTGGCAATCTCCACAGTGCTCACATGCTTATCACGGTCGACTTTTACCATGATTTCATCGGACTTTTCAGTGATTGGTCGACCGGAGCGAGGTTCATCTTCCACATTGAAATTTCCAGCACGAAAGCGAGCGAACCATTTCCGTGCTGCTGATTTTGATAGAGTATCTTCACCGTAAATAGCGCAAATTTTTTCACAAGCCTGTGCAGCATTCTTGCCTTATCGTAGTGATATGAAAATGTAGCGAATTTTTTCCTTATTTATTTCCATTTTCAAAATAAAATAACTTTTGATTCACTTCATCTGATTTCAATCTTTTTCGGCTCAAAACAAAGGTTAAAATGTCACTTTTTAAACGCACGTCTAGTGTTGCGATTAGTAGTTGCTGATTAATAGTTGCCGACTGCTGAGCATTTAATGCCATCTAGCGGGAAAAATTCCACGAACTTTTTCCCATACTCAATATCTGTTCAATATATCCTGATAGAAATTTGTGCAGTTCTGAACATTCAGTCAGTTATTGTTTAATATTTAATTTTAATGTTATAACGACTATTTTCAGGTTAGGAAATCGTACACTGTACTTTCGTAGTACCAATTATTACGTATATCGTTTTCGACTAAAGATCTCCACGATCTCTCTTATGTTGACAATATTGTCGATTCGGTCGATATAGTACGAGTTATGTACCATGATGTCCCTAAACAGTATGTAGTACAGGGGTGCATTCGGAAATCTATTCCTCAAGATAGGGTTCGTCCAAACCCATTTGTAAACGTTCATTTTTTTCCCCATTTTCCGTTCCCAATAGCGTTCAAAAACATATGTGAAAAATTTCCAGAATGTTTCCTATGTACCTCATTAGATAATGCAGGATGCATAATAGATATATGCAGGAAAAATCACCTGTCTTGCGCAGTGCATCAAATCACGTAAGTGTGGTATATTTTCCACTTAGTATATGTTCTGTGATTTTCCAAACGCATATTCACACATGTACGATATAATGAATAAAATAATTAAAATAAATAAATTATCACACTGCATTGTGGAGAGTATTGAGAAAACACCGATTTTTGACATAAAAAAAGAAACAAGACAAAACAAATAAATGCAATTATTTAAATTGTTTAATCCCTTTTATTAACATGTGTTCTTATTTACATTTAAATTAAATTAGTTATTTTGACATAATTTATAGTCTGCAGTAAGTTTTAATCTGTTTATTTACTACTAACTTTTCTGGAAATATATATATAAATATGTGTGTCATGAAGATTTATGTATTATTGAAGTTTTGTCACCGCTACCAGGTTTTATAGCATCATACCATACTTACCATATTTTTTAACATTTTCACAGATTAAGTGATATATATCAGAGTTTCGAAAAATTCTAGCATCATGAACAGAGTCGGGGTAACTTACAAAGCAATCAACAAATTTCGTGTTAGAATCACACATTGCTTGTAATGTTATGGCGCATTGACATTTACGCGTAATATAAACATCTGAATTTTCCGAGGATGTTTTTATTGGCACATACGTTCCATCAATTACTTCAACATCATCAATACCAGCCATTACTTT